GCGGTCAGCGAGTTGGTTGGCAAACTCGTCGTGTTCCTTCTCCATCTCGGTGCTTGACCCTGTGTTGCGCTCTGAGGTTGGCTGGTTCTCTGATGGGAGCGTTTGATGAGGCTGCGAGGTGGGCTCAGGAACTGCCGGTTCCTTCTGATCGTTGAACGTCGGGTTTGCCCAGTCTGGCGACTGCACTTCCCAGGGGTTGGCCATCACTCCCATATCCGCCATAGACTTGGGATCATATGGATCAAGAGGAAACCTAGAAGCAAAGTTGGACGTCTGCGGCGCTGAGCCATAGATGGATGAAGTAGCGCTGTCGGTTCGCAGGTGCTGGCGGACCATTCCGCTGAGGCCGGCGGACGAGGGGAGCGTCGGAGAGTCTTGAGGCGAGCTGGTCGTCTCGGCGGATACGGCAGTGAAAGGTTGATCGGACACGGGCGACGGCTCAATCGACGCGCCGGTGCTCAATGAGAGCGGTGTTGGCACGGCAAAGTCCCTGAGTGCGGGATGATCGCGATCAGCAGGGCGTCTTGTGGCGCCATGGAACGCAGCGGCTGGGTTTGTGGCGTCATCTTGGGGAGAAAGTGAATCGTCGTAAAAGCTCAGCCCAGCTTCCTCTTCCTTTACTGTCGGCTCTGTACGAATTATCTGTTCGGGTTTCTCAACCGGCAGCCTCTGAGCCGACGAGGATGAACGGGATCGACCGGTAGTTTGTGATGCGTTAGACTCTGTGCGGAGCCTGTTGGTCGGCGTCTCTCGGCCTTGTTGGAGTTGGAGCTGCCTTTGAGCATATCTAGACTCGTCGTAGGAGTGAAGAGGCTTTTGGAACAGCCCCATAGCAGTGGCCTTGCCCCGGTCACTGGGGAGAACAGAACTCTCCTCTCCTTCGCTGATGGGCGGGCTCAAAGGAGGTGCACCTCCAAAGGAAGACTTGGGTTCAGAGTTTGTGGACACGTTGATGCCCAAATCCATGGGGACAATTGGCGATCCCATGGTCGGGGGACTGGCGGATCGCAGGTTCGGAGCGCTTCCCTTGGCCAAGATCCTCCTCTCATTGCCAAAACGATCGCTGAAGAGGCTGCTTGTGGGTGAAGGTCCGTTTTGGAGGTCGGGGGTCCTGCTGCCTAGAGTTCGCTGCCGAGAAAGGGTGTCCATTCGCGATAGAGCCGAAGATTGTTGCTCCTGGAGATCATGGTTGAGTCCTGTCTCGTAAAGACGTCGTGCTCGGGTAACGCTCCGGTCAAGGTTGGGCGTGCCTGATGCCGAACTTGGTGCCGTCGGGTTCGACTGCCAATCCTTTGCTGCTGACGTTGGTTGGGACATGACAGAGGTGGCGGCCGTGGAATTGCGGCCTAGTGACGGTGTTGATGATGTGGTTGAGTTGGTTTCTCTCTTGCGGTCGTAGCCCAGCGGTGGAGGTGATTCCGCGCGAGGGAGATCGATACTCGAGGGCTTCTGGTCCTGTTCGTCGTCAAATGGTTGCTTAAACTTCTCCGTTTGCCTCCATTTCTGGAAGGCTGACTTTGCAACATCGTCATCATAGAGAACGCGTCCACTCATGCCACCGCCGTCGAGGTTCTTGGTGGAAACAGCACCAGAACCAAGCTTGTACACTTTTTGGCGTCCACCAAAAAGGTTGTTGCCTTCTCCCGGCTTGGCTCGGTCCATGACACTTCCCGAGATGGAGTTACCATCAGCAGAGTGGTAAGAATCCATCCGGTTAAATGGCACTTCTTTTCTGATTGACTCGACCTCGGCGATGTCCGACAGTCCGTTGGGACCAGGCCCAAAGCCAAAGTCCAACATCCTCGACTGGCGCTTCGGAAACAGAACGCTGTCGTCGCTGGCCTTGCCGATTTTCGTGTTCGGGTCGTCTTGTTCTCTCAGCATAGAGAACCGTGCAGAAAGCCCAGTCATGAGAAGACTCGTGCGGAAGTCATCGCTGTGGGGCAAGGCATTCTCGAGATCCAGTTCCTTCTTAGGCTCTTCTTCTTGTGATTTCTTTCCCTTGCCAAATAAACGGAATGGTGCGGGAGACTCTGATTCGTGGGAGGCCCGAGGCGTAGAAGAGGCGGCATCATCCTTCGCCCTCTTCTTGGTGCGAAATCTGTTCATTGTGTATTATCGTGTTCTGCCTCGTCGGCAGAGGAGCTGTGTCCGTAGGGTCGACAAGCAGTTCCTTTTTTTTCTTCTTCTCAAAGCGATTTTATCAAGCCTAAGCGTCGGTGCTCTTCATTAAGCGGCGTCCATTAATGGTGGTTGGGATGGTAGATCGAAAAGTTGGGACGAAGAGCGAAAGTTTGTTTGAAACGGGCAATGTTCGCTCGGGACGATTGGCCAAGAGTGCGTCTGAAGTCGAGATGCGGGATGGCTAGACACAAATAGCAGAATCGTCAGCATAGATTTGACAGGAACCCTTGGACACACGACCACGTTCCGGTCTCAGCTCTAGACGGCTTCTTCAGCCTTTGGGGGCGGCCAAGCAGCAATTGAGTTCAGTAAGGCGTCGGAGACGCTTAAAGCTGTGCTTGAGCCTCGTCGCAGCTGGGACCTTGGGATGAAAGCGTCTGCTGGGGTTTCTGGAAGAAAATGCAACAAATATCAAAGACGGGGCGGGTACGTGGGCGGCGGGCCATGGGAAAGATGGAGAGAGCAAATATGTCGAGCAAGAAACGTACCTGGATCAGAGATGTCGCTGTGTCGGGAGTGTTTCAGCAAGATGGAGTTTGTGTCCAGGCTGTCAACGTCGCATGTAGACCTTTTTTCTTTGCTCCTGGAGACCCAAAGCAGCGTCGATCCTCCTTCCTTCAAGCGTCTCAGCGAGAAAGAAAGTTGCTGGCGAAGATGAGATGTGCTTGGACGACAAAATCCAAAGCGTCAAGTCGAGAAGGAGGAATGGTGTGCTGTGTACACCAGATCAGACTCCTCTGTTTCCTCCAAGCCCAGGGTCGTACACAGATTCCAATGGTGTCCTGCGCAATAGGCTGGCGGCAGCGAGAGATGCGTCGAAATTAGTCTGGTGACTGTACGAGGTGTAGGAACCAGGCCTAACGTGTTGGCAGTAGCGAACGAGGTGGATAAATTTCGTGGGGAGACGAGGTGGAATATGGCTGAATCGCGGTTTGCTGATAAGAAAGGGAGAAATCCCGTCGGGGGTAATTCGACAATCCCGGTCGAGTGATCTTGTTCGGGTGGTCCAAAGGTTGCAGAGATACTGGATCTCGCAATGCCGTTCGAATTTATTTTTTTAGGCGAGGTCAACCAGACAGGGCGGCGAGCAGCGTCGATATTGTCGTATTGGAAGACTCGAAATCGAGAAGACGGCGGAAAGGAAGAGGCGCACGAGACAGAGAGAGAGCGAGTGTGTGTGTGTGAGAGAGAGTAAGGTATGTTGTGTGTGTCGAGAAAAGAAGGACTCGGGTGGGAACGTGGGAACCTCTCTTGGGAAACCTTTTTTTTTCTCCTTCCGTCACCTGGGTTTTCTTCCTGGCAGGCAAACAAAAGGGAAACCAGAAGAAGAAGAGAAAGAAAAGCAACGAGTGACTTGGGTTCAGTTTAGTGTACTAGTAGAGACGCTGATCGGATTCAGAGCTAGGCTCGTGGCTTGGTGGAGAGGGAAAAGTAGAGGGCAGCAAGAGAAGGGGGGGAGAATGAAGGTAGGCGAGGAGCAAGGAAGGCCGATGGAAGCCAAAGTAAACGACTGGAGACGATTTGTCTTGGGGTGAGGGCGAGGATTGGATTGGATTGCGAGTGACGGGAGAGAAAGGAGTGACCCAGGAGCCCAAAGGAGGGAAAAGAAGAATTGCGGACGCAGTGCAGGGACAGGGTGACAGGCACAAGAAATTGGAGAATCCGAGCCACGAACGGGGGGTGGTTTGTGGGTGTCACGGTGTGAGGGCGACAGGGGAGAGGAGGAGGAGATTCGTCGATGTGAGCATACGCAGTACTGTGTGAAGGAAGAGAGGTGTGAGGGTTGTGAACAGGACGAAGGTGTGCGAGGTTAGGGAGAACGGCGTGGACGGGGAGAGGCGGACTGGGATTGTGGCTGCACGACGGGACGGATGGTGATGGTCGAGGCAGGGGGTGGGGGAGCATGGGGGGTGAGAGAGGGGTGTGGGATGAATCATGAGATTGGGTTTATGAGTGTGGACTGTGAGTGTGGGAACCTGGGAATGGGAATGAGTGAGTGTGAGTGGTCACTCACTGATGAGAGTGAATCGACAGTGTGAGTATTACCTACACTAGGTGCCTTACTGAATGTGAGTGTGTGTGAGCATTACACTACCTCACTACATAGTGGATGTAAGTACGTGTGAGTATTGAAGTGAGGTGAGGCTAACATTAGGGCTCAAAATATCCTCACTCCAGGTCGGTCCACCGACAACCTCAGGTAGGATGAAAAGAGAATAAATTCCCAGTGCCCCCGCTCACTACTCTCATGGCCGTCCTAACAGGTAATGCGCTGGAACAGTCGTCATCTCATCGGCTCACCAGACAGGAGAGTCGACTAGGGACGGGGCTACGGGATGAGAGGGATGAGACTCATTCGAGAGGCACGATGGCGGCACTAAGAGAAAAGAGGAAGAGGAGGAGCGGGATTGGCCCCGGCTGGACACTCAAAAGAGGCCCCCTGAGGTTGTCAGTGGACCGACCTGGAGTGAGTGCCCTGGCACGACCTGGCTCAGTACCTCACCTACTTGTACGGAGTACGTACTTCCATTGGTAGTACAGTAGTATGGTTGAACGTGTTCCTGGCAGCCAGCTGCAAAATGCACGCCCGACTCCCCGTGCCCCTGGCATTTTGTTCCTGGCACTTGTCTGGCTTGGGTCTGGCCCCGGATGCGAAATGCAAGGGACCTGGCTAGCCATTGAACACTGCACGCTACGTCGCTACCTCACTGTGTGCAGACACTGCAGAGCGTAGCGCGGACAGAAGCTGGGTCACCCATTGGTGGGGCAGCAGACACAAGGAAAGCCGTTGACAAGTGAAGGGGTGTTGGCGTCTGTTAGGCTGCGTTGCGGAATTGTGGTGGTGTGCCGCGGCCGAGCACTAACAGCTTCACGGCCAGATCCTGTCGCCTTATGTCAGCTGAACCAGGGGTACGTACTATGCTTAACAGCCCGGGCAGTGATGGAGGGGTGGAAGACTCAAATGTCAAAATTGCAAGTGGGGTCGATTCTCGCTGCTTTCTCTTCTTTCCATCCTGCGCCTACTACGTAAGGTACCTTAGGTACCACACGGTACGTACGAACAATACATTACCTACGCAGTAGTACATAGGCACTCCGGACGCCAGGCACGCTGCACGCCGGCATGTTCCCCTCGGCTTATCTGCTACTCCTGGCCTTTTCAGCAGCCGCGGGTGATGAATTGCCGTCATTGCATCAATTGGTTGGCAGACACGAGGCAGGGGAAGTGTCTTGTTCAATGCATCAAGTGTTAATGAATGATTGGCGTCAATGGTACTGTGTAGATGTTCCTGCACGATCTGAAGCCAAAAAAGCAAGCGCCCTCAAACGCTTCACTCGTCCTCCTGATCACCTCCTTCCTACTTCCCTTACATAGTAGGTAAATACTGCTTGAGTTCCTCCGCTCTTTCCTTAGTCAGCTCGAGTAGCAAGGGATACGTACCTGCTCCTGCTCTTCCACCAGACGGCAGAACATGGGTGTGCCTGTGCCTGCCTGTGCCACCAACGGCAGGTGAAGCTGCAGATGTGCAGATGCGTTGATGCAGGTACTCGTGCGTACCATCCTGCCTTGCCTGCACCTGCCTCGGGTGCTTGGATGGGACGGAAAGTGCCCTGACTGGACTTGGAAGGAAGCAATTGTGAGAGTTCCTTCCATCTCAATCTGCCTACCTTGGAATCACCACTCCCACTCACGGGCAGATTCCTGAGTCTTCCATCCTCCTCCACACAACTTGACGAGATACCTTACCCCCCCCCCCCCTCTCGTCTTCGGTCCTCGACCCTCAATGTCTCGGTCTGCCAGTAAGGATTCATCATCAAAACAAACCATCAGTCTCATCGCCACGACGCCTTTGGACTAGAGGAGCGAAGAAGGAACATGGCCGCACGCCAGAGAACGCACATGACACCGCCCCAAATTCCATCCTCTTGATCGACGCCTCCTTCAATATCAACAACCCACAATAACCGCCATAGCCGCCTTGATTCCGCCCTTCTAGCAAGTAGGAGGAAGCATTTGCCCATTCTCAAAAGTCTTGTCAACCTCAAAAGGCACGGCTATGGCTGTCTTTGCACAAAGCCGTTACAGCTCGACAGTCTCGCGTACCTACCCCATCAAATCGCATCATCTCAATCACCAAAAGTCTACCGCCCTGGCTTACTACGGCATGAGCTTGCGCTTCCATCGAACCATACGCTGCCAGTCAGCGAAACATCTCTCGCATCGCCCGCAAGCTTTGATCAGCAACGCAGCCAAGAACCCTTCCGAGCCGTTGCCGTTTTCACCTGCGCGCTTGTCACCAAAGTCTGTTCTTGCCGATGCCCATCCGTTCCTCTTATAGCCCAAGACAACAAACGGACGAAACGCATGACCACGAGAGTCAAAGTCATCGTAGACATCGACAATTGAGCCGCCTAGATTCCTCCCAAAGTCATCCGCCCACCGCTCAAAGAGTCCCGGCCCGCTCTCGTGCCCTCCATCGCCTGGCCCCCGCATGCTTCCCGTCGTTTCGCCTCACCAAGTTCGCATACCTATCACATTCGCAAGTCGTTGCCACTTGCCACAACCTCTGTTCATCCACCGCGTACTTCTTGGTCCTCTGGCTCTGTCACTGTCTCTCTTGCTCTCGATTTGGTTTCGTTCGAAGTTGTTCAAGGAGTTGCCTACTCGTTTTTAATCGCCATCATCTCTTCCAAACGCCGAGCTGTACGCAGGCAAGGGGTGGCTCTAGCAGAAACGGGAGTCGGCTGCGTCCCGCACTTAAATACATGGCTAGGTACGCCCTGTCGCTCCATCACTCTACTTGTTGGCGCCGGGCTGTACTCAAGCTTCCAGGTCACGTCGGCAGCTCCAGCAGTCACCGTTGAACATAGACCAGCAAGCACACGGTTCAGCAGTTCCAAGACAGATGCTTTACTGTATGCTCCGTAGCCACCTACGGATGCGCCGTGCTGGTCGAGGGTCTTTAACCTTAAAAAGAAGCAATTGGTCCGACCTGCCCCAAGGCTTCTTGCCAGTCAACGCGCGCACATGCTTAGAGCTGCCTGCATTGATGCTTCCGCGCTGATCACTAGAAACCACTGGCCAGCCGGGCAAGCGTCAGATCCGTATCAGCCAGGCCTTTGGGTAAATGAACTGACAAATGACAGACTTCTCAACCATCTACGAGGGGCGTGTCGACCAAATTATCAAGAGACCAGGGGCGCACTAACAGGCCACAACTCTTCCAAATGTCTCACCACCCAACCAAATTATAGCGCCAACCGTTGCAAGCTCTTGTCCACTGCTCATAATGTCCGGCTCTAGAGCCAGTCAATGCAGTCTTGGATCCAAGAGCATGTGGAAAGCCACTGCCCAGGCTCGCCAAACCCAGGCAGTTCTTAGCTTTGCAGCTTCAAGAGCGGCAATCATAGTGTACGCAGGGCAAGGCGATGCCCAACCGCAGTTCACAACTTGACTTTCGGATCAAACGTATCGACTCCAAACTCACAACTACAATGTGGTTGCACAGCGCCTGAGAAACATAGCCAAGGACTTAATCTTATGCGCGACTCTTGTCTTCTGTTGGACCCCTTTTCTGGTGTCTCAACTCTCAACTAAATAACGGGGCGGATGCGGCCCTCACAATTTCGTCAACCGTCTATCGTGGTCTATTGGTTCAGCCTCAAATCGTCCCAGGGCCGCTATGGTGTCATTGCACCAAACACAATGAGACCAGTACCAGGAACCACAGCAGAAGGTCAGGTAGATACTCTGCTGCCCTCATCCTGCAGTTTGTTTCAAGAGCCTTGCACTCATACCTGGTGTCTGGCCAAGCCAAATTGGTGTTTGCTGATCGGCGCAAGATTCAATGAGATACAGGAACTGCGGTGGTATCTGCGCCATTGTCGTCAGTCTGCATCTCGCGTGCTGTGTTTGTAGATGCTGTGCCCTCGGCGCCGCCACTCAAGATCCGCTCAAGATCCGGTCAGCTGGTGTTCCCTCGACCAACCCCTATTTTTGACTCTTAACTTTTCAATCTACCAGCCGCACGACCTCGATGTCTGCTCACCTAGGCACTACCGAGCGATGTCAGCAGATGAAAAGATACGAGCAGTTACACAAACATCAGCTTCTGTTTTGCTTAGGCTCACGCGCAGCAACTATTTGTCGTCGCCTACGAGACTGGCGAAGGCCATGACAATCACTGATGTCCATTGTGGCACCCTGGTCTCCTCGAACGACAGCCTGGGCCAAGTGGCCGAGACGCTTTACCAGGGCAGCTTTGGCCCGCGCCCACTTTGCACATCACCCGTGCCGCCATGCAACCCCCGCGTTTCCGTCAGATTCGCGTTTCGGCTGTAATCCAATGCAGCACTTCTTGCATTCCAGCCCTCTCTCTCTTCAGCTCTCGAGACGTCCTGGGCAAACCTTCAGCTCGGCTGCAATTTGAGCGGGTTGCCTATCACCAGGCTTCCCCGTCCTTGCTGGCTTTGGGCCGTTTGGTTTCGAATCGAGCTCTGTTTCAACCTATTCATGTCTCGGGGCTGAAAGGAGGTTGATTCGACACATCAACGAGACTAACAACTGCATCCCCGTGGACCTGGTCTTTTGTGCGGTAGAAAGGAGGTGGCAATGCGTGCCTGGTCCGGTTTTGTTCTGGCTCGAACTACGGCCGACATCCCGGCTTATTGAGCCCGTCACGGCACAGCAACTGGGTGGTCTTGCGGAACAAACGGCTGTCGATTGCAATGGAGGTTCCGGCCCTACTAGCTACAGCCCATAACTGCCCTACGAATGCTTCGTACGGTCATCATTGGAGAGAAAGACATTCCGAGCTGCGCATGCTTCTTTTCCCCAAGGCGAGACGACCTTTACGCATGATCAGGAAACAAACAAGAATTCTCCCACTGGACACCACTAGTCATCTCGATTCATTGGCACTCAGTGCGCATTCAATGCTAGCCAACGAAGACACCTCGAAGCCTCTTGGTCCCACTGGATGAACATCTTCGCCCCACGAAAACGTTAGAATTGGCTCGAATTCACCTCATAGCATCTACTCAGTGCAGTACTCCGCAGTGTCTGACTTGGAAACACAACGACTTCACGATTCATGCAAAGCACACAATTTCGTTCACGGGGGTGTGTCTCGCTTCTTGCTGTTAGACGGACAGCGATCCCTTGACCTTCAGCCGTCAACTTTTCAAACTCCCCGCTAGCCAAGCAAACGGACGCCGTCAGAGGCAGACAGCGACAATCTTTTTTCCCCCACCCCCTTTCGAAATTTTGAAGAGGGGCTCCCGACACTTTCTCTCTTGGACCATCCCTGCGGACCTGGCCGCCAGCTTCCGCGGCCAATCAGCAAGCCGTGCCTGGCACTTTTACCTTTGCAGCGGCGATCGTAGCTCCTTGCCTTTGCTGGTTGGGTTAAATCTCGCCATCTGGACAGTGAGCTCAGCTGGCTTCGTCGATTGCCAGTTCGTTCTTGCGAAGCTTGAAGCAAAGTGCCGGTCATTCTTCGTGCTGCTGTGGACGAAGCGCGGCACGAATATTAAGCCTGCGAGCAGCTTGTGAAGACGTCGGAAGCCTCACCCATTCTCGAATCGGATCGGCGTCAGCTTCATACAGCATGATTATTCTGATGCTGGAAAAGAAACTATCTTGCACTGCAAGACGTACAGTGTCGGAAACTCCTGCACTGCTATGCCCTAGCGCGTCCTTGTGCCCGTACGGAGAACCAGATGTTGTCATCAGATCTCATTCATGGCAGATCCCGGCCAAGGCGATGCTTCACACTTGTATGGAAGTTGGAACGCCGGAGCTGCCGTTGCTGTCGGCGAGTCGATAACTGCTTATTCGTACAGAAACGGTTCAGCCCAACGGCCAGGAATACTTCGCGATATGAAGATGGGCAGACTCAGACTCTGTAAAGGTGCAATTTCTTAAGCGAGTCCACCCTGAATCCCAGCCGAGTGGTTGTCGGCTGTTCGGTCGGGAAAGCTACTGACCCAACGAGTGGGATCGCAGCCCTAGATTACCAACGGGTCCAACTCTTTGAGATTGAAGAAACAAATATACACTTTCTTGGCAGCACTCAGCGAGATTGATCCTTCAGAAACGATTCATCAAATCCAGAGGCGCTGCTTCAGAGGGGCTGCTTCTGCGGCAGCGCCTTGCGCAGGTCGCTTTGTCGGCGGCGGTGCAGCATGCTTGGTCGAGCCCTGCTAGACCAACACACGTCAGCCAAGTTGAGATGACCTGGACCATCGAGATTGAGCACGAATCGAATGTAATCAATGTTTGATGGGCATGTGGGTGCGAGATTCCTGCTGACGGAGCACTGAAAGCCTTGACGGCCAAGGGGAAATTCCCGCTACAAGAAACACAGATTCAGTTCCCCCGCCTGCTCCAAGGACTTTCCCGGTCCTGCAGCACGGCATGAACGCTGGCGGCCTGGGTTCGATATGGCCCGGTGCAGCCGCAGATTGAGGTTGTCGCATCTTGATTGACTGAAGAAAGAATGGAGTCATCAAAGATGTGCCGTGCGCCAGTTCGTCTGATAATGACGCTCCTACCAGCCGGGCCGTTCCCAGTCTTTAAGATTTACAATTGGTTTTTGACGGTCCAAAGCTTTTTTCTTACGGAGTACTTGTGTTTTTTCCTCTCCATTGTTAGCGCTAGAACGTGTCTCCAGGTCCACTCAACGGCATGTTGTTGGCAAGGCTGACCCGGAGCTGATCGCTGGGGAAGACGAGGGATATTCAAGAGATTGACAACCAAACGGAGCACCTACGGACGAGCAACGGGGGCCAACGTGGCATCGACTGATGACGGCACAGAAAATCCCGAGGGATGCGGTTGTAAAATGATGACCCACGATGTTGTTGAAAGGACACGGCTCACGCGGCGGCGTGATCGGACCGGAAGTTCAAGAATTTGACGGCCTCCATCCTGGCACAATCCAGGGCGAACGGACATTTATCACCCATCCATGATCCAGCACATGGCCTCCCGCTCATCACCGTGTGGATATAGAGGAGGCCAGCCAGACTGGCGAATACGCCGACAGATCGAAACTATCGGGGTCGAAGGTCCCTTGAATGCTAGCTACTTCATCGCCACGATCCAAACTCCAGGATGCGTTCGTCGATACTGAGAGTTGACCATGGTCGTTGCGAAGGAGGAAAGCTACGTCAGTCAATATGTGTAAAACGGTCTAAGATGAAAGACTCCCCACAGCCTGGACCAGTCGTGTGGCCGAAGACTTGTGCAGTCCCCGGGGCGAGAGTCACGATTCGTGTTACCACGAGAGGCAAGTGGTTTGGGATGGCTCAGTGATGGATCATCTCTGCAGCCGCACAGCGTTTCTAACATTACGCATCCGTACGGAATACGCCCACGTCCATTTCCCCCTTGCCGGCGCTAAGAAGCCGACGTTATCTCGCTTCCGCACCACGCTGGGCCGCCCCAATCTCCGCGATTTGCACCTCTCCCTCCAGTTTGGCCGTCACCCTGAGCTCCCCATCGGACGGTCATCGAAAGCCAGATGTCAGGGCTGAACCAAAGGGCTGCCCGCACACAAAAGCATGGCAACAATGGAGTCAAGGTTGCAAGAGAATTTTTTCCTTACGAGAGTCTGGACCCTCCATCACTGGGAAGCAGCTGGGAAGATTGGTTTCTACCATGGCAGAAGCCATGCGATGATTCCCGCTCCGTCACTCCGATGGCCGCAAGACTCCCACACTCCACGTGCCGCCCATCGAGTCGCCCAGTCCAGTCTCCCCATGCTTGTTATGCACCCCTGCTTGAGGAATGCAACCCGAGACGGCGGGTTTGGTCTGGAATTTGATCTACCTGGTCGCGGGGGACGTGCTACAGGTTACTA